GAAAGAACAATATCACAGATAGTATTCTAGGGTTTAAGGAAAATACTGCTGTGCTTCTATGTAGCTTGAAAAGCATGTTTTATTCAAAAGCTTTTAAATGGTTGCAGTTCCTAGCTTTCTGCTGATGCTGAGTGGGTTGAGTCGGGATGCTTGTGCCTTGCCTTGGGGGACTGAGAGCCCCCAGGGGAGGCTCGCGGGGCCTTTGCTGCCCAGCAGCCTGAAATATCTGAGCTTTGTGCCTGAGAACTGGCATGATGCACAAGCCAGCCCGCCCTGAATTTCCCCTTCAAGCACACCATCCCCTCGTCCCTGCCTCTTCCTGGGCTGAGCCCTCATTTCCTTGTTCCTCCTCTCAGCCAGTGGTTTATGTGGAAATTAGAAACGCTGTGAACATAACCTTTCTTGTAGAGGTCTTTCACTTCTTGACCTGCCTGTCAAGCACCCAGGGTGACATGGCCTCTCCTGCATACAGTCACTGAAAAATGCAGGGGGGAATGACAGGGCCATTACGGGGGTTACGGCAGTGCTGGAGTGGGGCACAGGGAGCTGCGGGTCATGGGCTTGTGCTGTCCTGATGTAACTCTGTATTGGGGTGCTGACTGTTGAGTGTTAACTGGTGTGACTGAGGGCGGGCTCACCTGGAGAACAGGGCAAACCAGAGCCACTGGTAAAATGCACCTGGATCCTCCTTAGTCCCCCAGAAAGATGTGATCAAGACTTGAAGGCATTGGTCTTGCCCGGTCTGCTTGGGTGAGTGCTGAAGCTCAGCAGCATTGGGTGCTTGAGCAGCATGTTGGGCACGTGGCCAGGGCTGCACAGGGGAGATGGCACGTTGCTCTGGTGCTTTCCCTTCATTTCCAGCTGTGACATCACATAGTTATTTTCCAGACACTCAATATACAGTGAGTCCACAGTTAATGTTTATTTTCCACAATGAAAATCTTTTTTTTATGTTTATCTTTTCATTGTTAGGATTGAAATGTATGGTTTAAAAAAAAAAATTACAAAAATAAACCTCGAGGTCCTTTTGTGTAGACCATCCCTGAAGCGAGGGAAAGGGCTTTGGGAGGCTGAGTGAGGGGGTCAGAACCTGCACCAGGCAGGAGTTGTCCTGGGACTTGGGCTCATCCAGAGCTGAGCGCTTCCCACTCTGATATTTGTGCAGAGTGTTCAGACTGCCTGAAATCACAGCTTTGCCTGAGCTGGAAGTGCACTGCTGCATGGCATGGGGGATGGACATGGGAGAGAGCAGAGATGAGCTCCTGTGGCAGAGAAACCCTGCACAAGTGTTCATGGTCAGGTCTGTGCTGGTCTTTAATGAACCACAAGATGAACCAGCTGAGCTTTTTCTCTGTTGCTAACTGAACACTGAAGGTGGGTGCTCCTGCTGTTCCTTGCCTCCCTGCCCTGGCACACTGGATGTGCCGGAGGGACTCACTTGTGCCAAAACATGGTGCAAAGGGCAGCTCTGATACTTGCAGTGAAGGAGGCTGCTGCGGTGTAACAGGTCTTGCACGAGGGTGGCAGAGGTGGATGGCATCCTGCTCAGCCAGGACATTCCTCCTTCCTGGTGGCATCTGCCCATGTGCTTGCCCAGCCACCACCATTTCCAGCTCTTCTCCCACAGCGCCAGGCAGCTGCCTGGGCTAGGGCGAGCAGCCTGCGTGGGAGCGGTACTCTCTTGAGACAGCTTGTCTGTGAAAGCCAGAGCTCTTTATCTGGTGTCTTTCCAGAAACTTTGTGTTTCTGGAATACAGAGACTTTATGTAAATCTCAGTTTTAGTTTAAAAACAAAGTAAATAACTGCTTGGCTGGAGGACAATGGCAGCACAAACCAAAATGCAGCCTGAAGATGCAGGAGCAAGCCAGAATGTGTTATTTTTAAAATTCTCTGAAGTCTAAGCCAGTCATTCTGAGTTTCATGTGGGGTTCCCCCCCCCCAGCTTTTAATATTTCAGTGATTGGCCCTGTAGTGACCCAGATACACTTGTGCTGTGCCAGCTGCCCTTCCCTCCCTCCTCTCCTGGGAGAGGCAGGAGGAGGGGAGTCTGCAGCTGCTTGAGATGATTCTTCTAGCAGGATTGGGCTGAATGGGGACACTTTGTTCAGCATGCAAGTTGCTCTTAAGGCATCCTAAAAGGAAGTTAGCCTTTTTTTAGAAGAACCTGTGCAAGAGGAACCCACGGGTATGCATTCAAACACTCATGCCTCTCTCGCAGAAATACTTGTGATATGTAGTATCTTTAAATGACTTCAGCCCAGTGGGAGGTTAAACAACCTGGAGAAGCTGTTCCTCTCCCTCTTGCCTGCTGTATTTTATTGGTTTGAGTTTTCCCTTGCTCCAAGTCCTCGATGGCAGCAGATGCCCGGGGCTGGGGTTTGAGCTGTGCGGTGTGAGGGCAGCACTGTGACCTGGTGGGGCGGCGGGGGCAGTTCCCGAGGGTGAACGGGAGCAGGCTGGAGCCAGCGGTCCTGTGCTGCTCCTGCGGGAAGGACCTTGTAGCCTCAAACTGAAAGCAAGTGCTATTGTACTAAGCACTCAGTGGGGGTCAGTGGTTTTCTTTACAATTTGCATTTTGATATTCCAGACATAAGACTTGCTTGCAGGTTTTCTTTTTCACTAGAATAAAAAGGATGCTTTGCCAGGCAGTTAATAACTTCCATTGCTTCTCATCTGGGGAAACCAGCTTGTGTCCCCTGACACGGGGAGGAAACGCTCCCTGCTGGGGCCTGCTCTGGAGATAACAAGGGAAGACTGAGCTGCTGAGCTAATCTAATTGCTCACTGCTGCTTCCGCTCCACCCTCCCCTTCTCAGGATTATTCCCTGTAGTGCTCTCCCATCCCCTCCCAGCTCTGGTACCTGCCTTGTGCCAAGTGGGTTCAGCTCACTAACCTGACTACAAATAAAACCCAAACAAACAATAAACTAAAAAAAAAAAAACCCCAACCCCAAAAATACCCACTTCTGGGGATGGGTAATGCATTGAATCAAGGGGAAAGGACTGAGGAGGGAAGCAAGGTCTCTCTCTTCTGGCAGCAGTGGGCTGTGAGCGCTACTGGGTTAAATAAAGCTGTGCTGTGTAATTTCCCTTTTGGGTGCAGCACAGCTGGGTGCTCTTGTGGAGAGGCAACATCCTCCCATGTGTCCCATCACCTCCCTGGAGGTGCCTCTAACATGCACGGGTGCTGGGGACCTGCGCTGGGTAGAGACCAGCCAAAAAGCGGTTATTTCCCCCGCTGGGCTCCTGGGCTGTCGTGGTGGGAGTTGCGGGGCTGGGCATTGAGGGAGAAATGCAGTTCTTGAATTACCGCTGCCTTTGGGAAGCTGCCTGCAAATGCACCCCAGGACACCCTAAATGAGGGAGCTTTGGAAAGAGAAATATATTATCTGAGCAAGCACTGTCAGGGGGAGGACACCTGCCATCTGGGCGAGCAGCTTCAGGGGAACCGATAGATCCTGTTCTTCCACCTTGCAGATTTTCTTTCACAGAGAGCAGAAAACTGCTCTCCCCAGCTTGCTGGGCTGGGAGGGTTGCAATAATCCTGTTGCACCTGCCCCTACAAAATCCATCGCTAAACCCAACAGCCTCTGTGGAATCTGTAACATAGTTTTGAAATACCTTCTGGGAAACCGCTTTTATAAATGTCAAGAGCATTCCATATGTACTTTTGTTCAGCTTTATTTTACAAAACGTATTTGAAAAGATTTTTGTAAGATATAACACAATTACTGTAGTTCACAAAAATCATGCAAATATTTTGACTTGTAAAAGTAAGATTAAAAAAAAATATCTTTGTTCTTATGGGATATCCCTTTAATGTCTAAATATGAGGATTAGAGGAACTGGGAGTTCATGAGAGTTTTCGCCAAGTGATAAAGGAGATGAGAAATATGACTGGAAATGAAGAAGATGCACCTGATAGCAAGGAAGAGAGTCCTCCCATCTGGCTACTGAGACAGAGACCTCTGTGTTACAGGAGTGTTGGACGCCCTGGGGCAAGGCAGCCAGACTGAGCGGCTTTACAGCAGAACTCCGCTCTGGTAATAGCGAGCCATTTTGGAGCGTGTCCCTGTATTAGCTGATACAGGGGAGGAAAAAACGTCGCTAAGCTCAGCTTGGCAAAAGCAAAAAGCCCAGCTGAGCAAAACTTCAGTTTTTGACTTTTCTAGGTTTTTTCCATACAGTTTAGAACTAAAACATTGATTTCAGAGCATCTGTAATATTTGACATACAACATCAAAAAAGCAAAGCAGCAGTAAGACAGGGTCTAGCTGTAGCATTAAGCCCTTGAGGAGGATCTTGGCAGCACCACAAGTACCTCCTTCCAGCAAATGCTGGCAGGGATGAAAGGAGGGGGTTGTTAATGAATCTGTTTCTGGAGTGAAAAGGTTCATGCTGTCTTTGACAGTTGAGTCTTATCTGTAAAGTTCATCCTCCACTGTGGCTCAGAGGCCACAGGTATTTGGCTTGCACAGCCCGGTTTAGGCTCTGGGCACTGCTTACCAATGCTTGTCTGAAACCAGATGCAGGACTCCAGCGCTGGTGTATCAAGGCTGAAATCTGAGAAACGCCAGTGGTCCTCGGTGCAACAGCTGGTGTCGCACAAGGAGTTTTACCTTTAACCTTAAAAACGAGATCCCTCTTCTGTGTCATTTCCTATTTAGACTGGATGCCTTTGCTTATTAGTGCTGCTTTGGTGGGCTGAGAGCTGCTCTTACTTTTATAACTTTAGCTGACAACTTCCCAACTCTTAAGTAGCTGGTAAAGTGTAGCTCTATTAACAAGGATTATTACTATTATGGGGTGTAGAGGGCGGAGGCGCAGTGGTACAATCTCCAGCATCAGTGGCACTTCTGAGCTCGGCTTTCAGGAAATGGTTGTTAGTTTCCATGCTTTATAATAATAATATAATAACCAAAGCATTCTGCACCAGTATTTGAGTTACATGTCCATGGCGTGTTGGAATCATCATGGAAAACATAATGGGTGGCTTCAAGATTTAGAGATTCGTGAGGCTGCTTAAAGGTGAGTCCTACTAGTCCTGCTACCCTGTGGACTACTTGATGACATCAAGTAAATGTCTAAATAGCCAATACAGGCTGTTAGCGCCAAAAATGTGGAATGGTATGATAATCCCACACCATGTCCATGTACAGGCTACACTTTGCTGGACTGAGGTCTCGTGCATTTCCTATTTTTTCCCACAGGCTAGTTTCTCATCCTATATTTCATTGAGGTAATCTTGGTCAGGATATATCAGGAAACCAGTAAATAAGCTGTCTGTCCAGTAGGGATCGTAAAAGAGCCCGTTTTGTTCTGAGTAAAAGATCTGCAGCCATACCTCGTCCTCCTGCTTCAGAGAAAGGATGGTTGATCCGGAGGCAACATCATGGTTTCCAGTGTTGGCATCAAAAGTCTTGATCCGGTACTGCCCATTGTGGACCAAGCCGATGGCCAAATGTTTGTTGGCCAAAGTGATATCATAAGTGAAGTAGTAAATACCTGGGATGCTGCATATAAACTTCCCACTGGAAGCATTGTAATGTCCTCCCTCGTTCATCAGGATCCTGTCAAATTTGATGGGCAGCCTTTCCCTTGGGTAGCTCTTTGAGACTGCCACGGAGAAGGCAGATTTGGCTTTGTTGGCATTGCAGGTGCAGGGTCCTGGCATCCCGGTCTCGCCCTTGTTCCCTTTGGGCCCTTTCTTTCCCGGTGCCCCATTTTTTCCAGGATTACCCTTTAAACCCTTTGGCCCTCGTGGGCCTGCCTTGCCAATAGCTCCTGCTTTCCCCTTCGGTCCTGGCTTGCCAGGGTTTCCTGTTCTGCCTTGTGGACCTAGAAGACAAATAACCTTTTAAATTTATTAGTGGAAGAGATGATATGGTAAGTGGAAAGGGGTTGTATCATTGCAGCAGTATATTTTCATTTAGGAGGAAAAGCTTGCTGGTGAGAATCCTGATGAAATACCACCTGGGGCTGGACATGTATCGGGACTGACTAGCCGTGTAGGTAGTAGTAGGTAGTTGGCACGATAACAACGGGACGCAGGAGCAGGACAGTCTGTCCCTTTTAAGGACCAAAAGGCTGGTTCAATTATCTGACATCCCTTGGGTTTTAAAGGAGTGGGATGGGTTTGTGAAGCTTTTGGAACCTAGTTTTGAGCAGATGGAGTATTTTTAATCTCCTGTCTCTCT